ATTACGCACGGTTAAATTCGGCCATTGGTGATCGGATCGTTTAACCAATCGTTTGTGTATACCCGATTTATTCGGTTTTGTGTAGAATGTTGGTTTTGTTATTCTTGAAGAAATCTGTTTTAATCAATCCAAAAACGTTGTTTTATTCTTAAACAATTATACCACGAAGAAATCTTAATTCCTTCAGTCCCTTAGAAGCTATTCTATACCTTCGATTATAGTCGTGTAGTTGTTGAAATTTTTACTTGGAGGAAATCTCGCAACGTTCCCAAAAATTACAAAAACTTCGCATGAAACGATGGTCGATATTCTCGATATTTATTTTACAAATTCGTGCCACTGTCGATAAAATATCGGAGGCAACAAACACGAAGCGCAAAGGTGTGAAATTTTCTGGAGATTTTCAACTTTCTTCCGAAAGTTATTTTCCCCTTTTTTTTTTACCGTACCGGGATCAACAATTCGAAAGGCATAGAAAAATCGATAAACTTGAAATCGTTATCGACAAGCACTAAATACACATACCTATCTTCACCTTAGTAACCCAGAGATTAGCGCGATAACGCAGAAACGAAACTGAAACGAAATTATTTTGTAATTTATCAAAAGGTGAAGATCATAACAATAAATGAGATTTCTATCGAGAAAAGTTTAGACGTAAGTACATGAAGCAACGATTTTTTTTATATATACAAATATATTTCTAATGACGTAATATACATGCAATTGCACGTTCATTATTCGAAATATATAACAAGTGTTTTATATTAATCTATATAGTAAACATTAAACGATATCGATAGAACTTCTGCACTCTATTATTGCAACTATAGCAATAATAGCAATAGTTTTTATTATCTATATAATGTATAACTATAGCATATAATTATACATATTATATAGATATGTTATAATATGTTATACATTATATATATATATGTTATACATATATATGTATATATGTATATATAATATATAATGTATACATAATGTATTATACATGTATATATAATGTATTATATATGTATATATAATGTATTATATATGTATATATAATATATTATATAATATATATATATAATGTATACATTATATATATGTTATATATATATTGTACATATGTTATACATTATATATATATATA